ACATGTGCTCGTTAGTCACCCAGAAATGTGCCAAGCTCAGCAATGCCATTGTCTTGTCATTGTTCGTTCAAACTCTCGATTTGCTGCTCTATTAAACAGGCCCCGCGTTTAGAAACCGTGTATTATAGCTCTGCGTTGCACTTTTTCCTATAAAGAAGTATCAAAATACAACGAGCGATGCAGTAAAAAAAATACTTTTAAGCTGAAAGCGTTGTTGTAATTATTAGGCAACCCACTGTAACGAAACAAGATTTATCTACCAGTTTCCATATTAAACCCTGCACTGCTTGGCTTGAGCAACAGTGGTAATTGGTTTTGGTAATCGGGGCAGCCACGTCCCGTGAATAAATAAAACAAAAGTTCTGTGAGCCTTTGACAGTCATGATGACATTTAGCACCTCTATGCTGACTTATTCCTTCTAGTTACCTGTCAGACTCAGTGTTGTTCATCTTTCTGAGGAAGGGTGACCCGACCCGAAACTTTAACTTTGTTTTTTCCTTTACAGATGCTGCCAGACCTGCTGAGCTTTTCCAGCAACTTTGGTTTTGTTCATCTTTCTTGTCGGTCTGTCTCTGGTTGTCACTGCCTACATCCATCTTTCACTGCCATCCTTGTGCCATCTGTTCCTTTTCATTACCAATTACCAGTGAATTGCATTTAACCTGCTGCTTTTCCATGTGAAAAGTAGTTCAGGAAATGCCACATTTTGCATCATTTGTGGTCTTCTGCTCTGTACAAGAAGCACCTGAAATCATACAGTCAGCCTGGAGTGCCAAAGAAGCAGATGAGGCGAACAGGACTCGGGCTTTTTTTTTTACCTGAGGTTGCAGGCGAGATAGGCAACTAAATTTGTCGTTTCATCGAGCTGGGCTCGAGGTGTGAGCTGGTCACATACAGAGCCTACCGTACTGAGTTCTACCGCAGTTGGCAGACCGAGAGAAAGCCCTTTCACATTTACACACCAAGTTGCGCTCCGTTTTGTTTAACGCTGGGTTGAGAATTGATTAACAGCTCCCCGCTAATTTTATAACACGTCCCAGAACTTCAGAGATAGTAGGAACTGCCGATGACTTGTTATTCTAGATAAAAAGTAAAGAACTTTACGAGTATGCTCATTAAGTATGAATCGGAATGTTAAATGGAAACACAAATGGTTGAAGAGAGAATAGTATTTATGAATGATAAAGTAGTTTATGGTGAAGAACTACGCAGTGACCTGGGTGACAGTAGAATGGGTTAGATGGATAGACTGGGAGATGACCTTTTCCACTCCAGCAAGTGTTCTAATCCGATATGACACGAAAAGGTCCCGCTTTTTAAAACTGCCTTAGTGTGTGGGCAATACCCACGGTATTGAGAATAGTCCTGATGAAAACAAACGGTACAAACCGAGTTCTGGCTGGTCGCCTGTGTTTCTGAAAGGTGCAATGAAAAGTCTTGTAAAGTGCAGTTGGTCCAGCAAAATGCCTTTGCCAGTTCCGAAAGAACCCGTGTTTGATTACATTGTTCATCTGTTGTGAAATGTTCATGAACGACATTGTTACAGTCGGGGAATGTGCCAGCGAGCGACAGAGAGAAATCAGTACACTGCCACTGGAAATGAACGGAGCTTTTATGTTCAGGAGCGAGTCTCAGAACGCAAGATACGAGTCAAACAACATTCAAGTGAGGATACTCTAGAAGGTGCCAAACCAAGCGATCATTAAGGCTGAACCGGATCGAATGTGGTCATAAAACAAAGCTCACACACTAGAACTAATTGCGCTCCTGGTTGTAAATGGCCAGCATCAGTTTGTAAAACTGTAGTTTTAAAGCTGGGATCGAAAACCAGATGACGTCTCGGTTTACGAACCAGTCAGCTACATCAAAGAGAAAGCAATTGCGTTCGCCTTCGCTCACAACTCAGTCCCAAAGCGTTTACAACGGCCAGGTTACACCGAAAAAGAAGACTTGAAACCCCCGCACAACCCCGCCAGCTCCATATCGAGCAAAAATTATTTATCCCGTGGACAACACTCACAGCGGGGGTGGTGGGGGACAGAATTTCACACAGCACACTGAACAAATACAAGCTAACAGTTCATAGAATATCCCACAGACTAGACCTTGATAACGGCCTTTTATCATTGCGAGAGGTCCCTTTGTGACATATGGTGAAGGGAGTTGGGATAGTCAGTGAGCCATCCACGGACACATATGGTGCGCATTTAAACGCTTTCTATTAGAGTATGGCCTGATAAGAGACAAATAAACAAACAGACCTGTCACTTTGGGAGACATTTTCTTACCCCCCCCTTATACCCATTCGGACCACACAGCGCCTCTGTGCTGGCTGGGTTGTTTCATTAATTGCCTTTCCCGGCAGTTTGATTCACCCCAGTAGGAGCAACGGAATCCAGCTGCTCTGACTAATCTACCCCCAAAAGGAAAGGAAATCGCGAGGAAGGACAAGTTGCGGATTACTTTCAACAGTGACGCGGGTCCCCTCTGGTCAAATGACTTTCTTGGTCTCAGTGCCATTTACACCAACGCAGCTCCCTAATAAAGTCAATGAGTTGGTCTCTCATTGAATTCAATTAGTAGGTTAGCTCCAAAAAGAGTGATAATTGCCTTTTAAACACAAAATCCTTTCGCCAAACTCCCAAACTTGCAAATAACTTATTACACCGCGGAATCTTTATTTGCTTAAAGTGTTCGTTAAGGAGAGCAAAGCGGAGGTTTGGGAATGAAGGAGCAAATTACTGCAGATGTTATTTTGAGTCTGGGAACGGGAGTTAGATAGATAACAGCAGCGATGCTCATTGCTGACGGGCAGGCACTGAGCTCCCACTGAAGATGCACTGTTACCAACACACGCAAGTCTCACAATTCTGTCCTTGTCTTCGCCGGAGTGCCGGGGTACTGAAGCAGAGTGCATGTTATGTCGTCGAATGGAAGTCGCCCCCAACCAGACTGCTCGATTAAAACATGCTGTAGCATAATGTTAAGAATAAACCTGGATAAAGAGCATGTTTACGTTAGACCAATTTGCGTTGTGTGGACGCACGTCTTCCCATAATAACGAGGTTATGATCTCACTATGACACATTTGTCCACATCAGAATTGATCAAGTGTGCCGTGTATCTTTCCGTTTTATTTCGGAAGAAACCCTCCCAATCCAGGCGAATATAAGCGCATACGTTGAAAATCTTCCGTTCAAAATCGCAAATCTTCCTCTGGACTTGCTGGGTATTATTCTAGCAGGCACAGAGGTAGTTCTGCTGTGCTCCTGCATCCTATGGGCCAGGTGCACAGGCGCCCAGACGAGGGATTTTCTACTACACTGGGGGGCTGAGCAACCTCAGCTCTTTGGCCCAAAAGATTGCCCTGGCCAAGCTTGCAATCTTGCCAACCTTTACCTTCAACCAGCCCAATAGGCCGTGGACATCATCCTTGGGGGCAGGCGGGTGGGGTTAATGGTGTCCCTCTAGCTCGGAATCCCTTCAAGATGACCCGTGGAGCCTCGATTGCTGGCTGGCGGGTCAGGGCGGTGTGCGTCTAGCCAGGGCTCACAGTGAGCTCGGCTGCTCACTGGAGGTGGTATTCCACCGACCTGCCCTTCTCCCCACACACCCCTCCAAACGCTGCAGGTCAGTGCGCCGAGGGAGTGACCTTGTATTGGAAAACTGCATTGTAGTAATTCAGCAACAGACGGCTCACCTTCACTTTGCATCAAGTTTACTCTGTGCTTGACCTCCATCCACGTATTCATCATTCCCGACAAAGTCAATTATCTGGATGTTTGCAAGAGGCAGCAATATTTTTCAAGTTGCAATCAATTGACTCAAACTATTAGTCGGTCTGCCTACTGATGTACACCCAAACCATTACAATCTCAGCTCAGACTTGTAAATGTGATATAACTGCACTCTAACCAGAGTGGCTTCTTATTGTTATTTGATTGCTTACAAGGTAACGCAGCTGGTGGTTAAACAATAAACTTAAATAATTTCTTAGTTGGAAAAATAGCTAAACGTGTCACCAAGGTAAGGGTGAAAACATGGCAACTGCAAAGAGCGAGAAACTCACAGCGAAGTAAATAAAAACGGGGTTTGAAAGGGACGGGGACTGCAAGAATACAGATGCAAAAATCTAGACCTTTTTTTCCCTTTTGAAAGGTTAGTCTATCGATCAGCGCGTGTACCGTCACTAATAGTTTATAAACACGCTCTTATTTACATCAAACACATTCGAACGTTCTCTCAGATGGGTAAGAGACTATTTCTTTCGGGATAATACGGTATCTCCGAGCATCCAGAAACAAGAGGTTCCCCAGATTGGCCTCGCTGTTGCCTCCAATGATTTCCTGAAGCACATGTGGAAGTAATATTTGGCCTGTTCACTCCCAGCGCTGAAGATATATTACTGCAGCTAACGGCTGGAGGCAAGATGAGAAACAGCAGCGAGCTACACAAAAAAAAGGAGAACGATCAAACCCGCTCCTTCCAGCGGGCACCCAGTGTTGGCACATAGTTTGCACAATTGCGCCCTGCCACACTTCCTTCAATATTTACACCCTTTCTTTATCCCAATTGATTAGAAGATGGAGAGGGACTGAGCTTGTTAGACAAACATGTCAAACCGACCTTTTCATGCAGCCAGTTCGGGTTTTTAAATGCAAGGCGATCTAACCTCACTCCTGGGCAATAACTCCCAAGGAACAGAACAAGGGCGCCTCCTGCCTTCACTGGTCAATATTGCTTCAGGTCATTACGCGAAACGATCCGTTTACAACACACTTAAATCATTTTTTCCAGTGTTTAGGAATGTCTTCTGTTTTGTATAATCCTAAAACAAAACACTTTACAGATTTATTGCGGTTGACAACGTTCAGGAGAACATTAAAAAATACTATGCAGTTCTCTTTCCTCCAAACCCCACCCCCACACCTCTCTAAACAAAACTCTGGCCAATAATCCCCAAATCTCTCAACCCATTTCTATTTGAGTGACACTAACACTACAAATGTAACTGTCCCACTACATTGGTACCGAGCACAGATCAGCCGCGTTTAACAAGGGCTGGGAATTCATTCATAAAGACTAGCTATCCTTCCGTGAGCGTATTGTCAGCACGGGCGGAGGCGATGCTACTGGGGGAGAGAGAGAGAGAGAAAGAGAGAAACATTTTCATCCATATAAAACTTCCTTCAAAATGCACATATGGCAATTTTCTGCGCAAGACAGCCTTAATGTGACTGCCCTGCGTGGATAAGAGTTTGGGAAAGCTCGCCTCCACCGCCTGAAGCCAACACGACTCCAAGAGCTGCCTGTGAGCTGCGGACTCTTATTCTGAAGCGACTTCAGGGGTTTCATTTCCTGACAGTTATTTACTTAAAGCAGATGATTAGTTTTTTTGGAAGGATGGACTGCAACATTGAATCAATTACAAGTCGCCGTTCTTTGAGCCATTAAACAATCTGAGCCCAGCTCCAGAGTGAAACGTACATGCTGCCCCTGTTCGGAACAGAAGTTGGTGGATTTACCACTTTACACAAGGTAAGGGGCAAACAAGTCTTTTTTTTTAAAGGCGTGCGGGGCGAGGGGGGGGGGGGGGGGTGGTGCGAGTGTTTAAGTAGGGTGGGGGCCCTGTTTTATCTCCTTGTGTAAAATCTGTTAGTAAAGAGGCCTGGCGTTCCAGACGACAATATAGATTGCACCCACAGCTGCCCCTGCACACATCCCTCTGCTGGTTCGCCGTCGGTCCAAAGGGGCATAAGCATCTTAAAGACTAGGAGAACTGCTTGTACTTTATCATGTGAGAGTCTTGTTCATATCGTCGATTGTTCTCAGAAGGCTGTTCGCTTTGGCAAGCGATGGAGTGTGAAAGTGGTGCGTTTCATTGAGTGGAGGGCATGTTTTGAGTTTGGAAGTGAGCGCTTATCTGAGAGTGTGTGGCATGTTACAGCGGTACCGCTATCGAGTGAGGAAACAGAGCGGCTCTGTGCACGGTCTTGGGTCATGATAACCGTCCCGCTGCATTTAACTTGGCCAGCGCGCTGCAGACTGATGGCTCCATTGCATAAAGCCTATAATGACAAACACATTGGCGCTGGATGTGGGAGCCACCGTGAGCCTGCGTCAGGGATTTGAGGAATTTCGGACGAAGTAGAGGCTTTCTCCCTCTCTCTCTCCCTTCCTGGGAATACTCCGCTGTCCTGGGATCGAGGGTGGCGGAGGGAGAGATTTGGGGATTGTACAGGAGTTCTGGCGTGCGGATGAATCACGTAAACAGGAAGGAGGGAGAAGTGAGCCAATACTTGTTGGCTAGTCCGTGAGGGAAAGCAATATCGGGAGGTTTCTGCGAAACTTGCGAGAGGGGAAAGTAGCAGCAGGATAAACGAGGTAGGAATCAATGTATTATTTCAGTAATATCTATCTCTTCGCTCCTTTTTTATAACTTGTTTCTTTCTTCATCACTTGACTGTAGTTAGACTCACTCTCAGGAAACTTGATCATTCATTTTAATCACTTCCTTCATTTAAACCCTCCAGTTCTGGAAGAGAATGAACAGTAAAACTTACAACTTTTCTCCAATTCTCTCTAAGCCGGCTTTTCCCAGTCGCTGTCCCATCGTTTGCACTATTTTGTCACTTTGCCCCCCCCCCCCCAGGTCCTTTAGCCTCTCTATAGTTCTCCACTCACCACCCCCCCACCCCTCCCCCCCACTCTCTTTCTGTTTTACCGCTGTACCCAATAATAGTTTCCCTAGTCTGGTACTGGATTTTTTGTTTTCTCTGAGAGATGCTTCTGATTTGCTGTTTGCCCAGCTCCGTGTGCCCGTTGCCTTCTCTTGCTCAGGAAACTCCCGGAGCATACCCTTTACTTGGCTCCCCCCCCCCCCCCCCCCCCCCCCCCCCCCCACTTCCCCGCGCCGATCTCCCCTGCTCCCCGCCTTTTGCCAGGGACTCGCTCCGGAGATTGAGAAGCGGCAGACGGACGGACGGGTAAGCAACCATTTGGCCCGAAGTGTCGCAGCTCTTCAGCAGAAGTGCCAAAAGCCAGTGGGAGGACTGTTGTAGTCGAGACCCTGCTGGGTGGCACTGAAATGGTTAAGAGGAGAGCAGATACAGAGAGAGAGAGAGCGCGGCGCTCCGAGCGGTGGGTAGCTGGCACTTTAAGAAGTCCCAACTCTTACTGAGAAAAGTAAAGTCGGTAACAATGGAACTTCTGTAAGGCTACCTTCTGATAAAACAGCTCCTGTTGTCGGGAAATCCTTTCTGTTTCTCTCTCTCTCTAATCCTTTTATTTAACCAAGTTAACCAAGACTGTGACTAAAACATGTTCGCTTTTGGTTGTCATGGGTTCTCTGTTGTAATTATTCTCAGTCCCGTCGTGTCATTCTCTGCTCACAGTTCAGTCTTTCATGAACGTAGCGGAGCTGTGTTTTGGTGAGATTTTCGACGCGGAATCAAGCCAGCGAGTGGTGTCCCAAAGATTTCGAAATGTTCGCCGTTGGGAGGCGACTTCATTTACATTGTCAGCACACAGGACCCCTGCAGGATTTTGACTGAGCGGAGAGAGGATGCGCTTTGCCTATTCACTCCCCTTGGGCTTCCCAGGGATTTGGTGGCGAATCCTGGGGGTAGTTTGGAGCTGACCTCCTCACACTGGAGTCTGCTCCCCGTCTTGTTGCACTCCAGAAGTTGCACTTTAAGGGCGCTTTGTGGAATCTGATAAATAACCCTAGGGTTTTGCACTGACTTCTACACTGCAACGTCCCAAAAGCACATCCTCCACAATAAAAACAGCCTGAATCAAAGCCGGTTACTCAGGTAAAGCTACTCTGCGGCTGAGCAATCCTGGACAGGCAGGATGAGAGCGGCGGGTGGATACAACTGAATGGTCTGCAGGCTATCCCCCAGGTCTCTGGCTGTTTCGCCTCTTTGTAACATGAGTCAACTCGAGTCTTCATCAGGTTTTTTTTCTACCTTCAAACATCGCTTGGGATTACGAATATTGAATGCAGAATGTAAATGCTGTATATATAACTTGCTGTTCCTCTCACAGCTTGCAAACATTAATAGAGATTTAAAATGTCATCCCATCGATAAAGACAAAGGATACCCTCCTGCAGGTGACAAAACTGGGATGTGGGTGCTGTACGTTTTTTTCCCTACTGGAAGTATTTCGAGAACACGTGTGTTGTGTGCGTGCGTGTGTGTGTGTATGTTTTCCTTAAAAAAGGTACAAGGTATCCCAATGTATACTTCACCAATGTCTAGTTCTCTCACCAGCGCCCTTATCCGCACAAAAAAATCGAATCAAGGTTTACATGTATGTAAATACAAGCCCACGTGTGCATCTAGCACCCCCTATAGACCAGAGGAGAAGTGCAGATGGGATTGAACGAAAATAAATCATTTACGCCCCTCTTGTTCCCCGCTGACTGCCAATAAATGGTAATAACTGGATTTCAGGAAGTGACATTCCCAGGGGAGAACTGAATTGACAAGGATTGGTTCCAGTCATTGTTGTCTGTGTGATACCACAATGAGATTGTTACTCTTGTCTACAACGGAGGAGCGCTACACCCAGGGGCTTCTCATTCTGAAAATGGACCCTCACAGAATCTCCGGATTCGGTGGTCTCAATGTTCTGGCGAGTTCCAACAGGCTAAACCGGAGAAATAGAACGAAACCGACATCGACTGCAACGTTAAGGCATTAATAAAATGATGTTGACAGTGGGATGACTGAAATTGCCTCACTTAAGTGCTGCAGTAACCAATTTGCTGTTGTGTGCACGTACCCAGTGTAGAGCCGTGTATTCCATTTTGGAAATTGGACACACAAACAGTTTAAACCTTATTTACAGTTCTAAACATCTGGCGTGTTTCACTGGGCTTTGAGTAAGAATTCTACGTTCATGATCTCAGTTGTATTAGAGAGCCACGCTTTGGCTTGAAGCAGGAATGCAGTCATTTCATGGTAATCCCATAGCGCCAGGGTCCCTGAAAGCGGTTGATGTTTGTAAACAACCCTGCTTATTATATACTTATTACTTTAGTTAACCTTCATTTAAGGAACAGAGTACTTCTTTAAACTAAAATAGCCATATATATTTTCTTTTGAGAGTCTGTGTTTTAAAGCGGGGAAGTGCTCCCATTTATTCAAACCTTCATTTCAGGACTAACATCCTGGGAAAGTTATTGCACTAAATCCTGATTTAAATTTAAGTGGCCGATGTGGCAGTTAGGTTTGTCCCAGGTACCATTCTCAGAAATGATAATTAAAAGTAACTTCTAATTGTCTGGGTTGTCAGCGTGAACAGTGTCGAGGAAATAACTTCTGGATTTGGAAAGCACTTTTCCTGTGAAATCGAATTCCCAGGAAATACTCGTGTTTTTGCTTTACTCTCTTGTGCAATCGTTTCCCGTTATCATCTGATCAGAGGGTAAGGATGAAAACTTGCCTTTTTCCTGTTTGTTTTATCTGGAAGCGTCAAAGCCACGTTAATCTAATTTGATAATTATTTCGAGAAATGAATAAATAGATCAATTGAAATTCGTCCAAGGTAAATACATTCTACCTATTGAACGGCTCTATTGTTAGTATGCTGCGCTTAACGTGATATCAATGTGACGAGTTTGCTTTTGGACTTGTTTTTGGATCGGAATTTGGATAACAATGCAACGTGTTGAAGGGTTGTTTCCTCTTTCAGAGGCAAAGGTTACTATAAACTGCAAACAGTAGCATTCCACGTTTGAAAAAGAAGTACAAAATTACAGTGTTGAACGTAAATATATACAGCAAAATATACAGTTAGAGTTGATGTTGTGTATGTGCAAAGGAGTTTTGTGCGTCTACTGCCTTTCTAAATGATAGGGTGGGAGCAAGTTTAGACCTTAACTGTACAGACAACACCCTGCTGCAGGCCGTTGGTCAGTGGAGAAACAGTGCCCCCTGCCGACAATTCCCCTCGGTGTAACATACACGGTGAACTCGTTCCTTTTCGTCCCCATTATCTCTTTCACAGCGAACTTCTCCTTTTCTGATGAAGGGTCTAGGCCCGAAACGTCAGCCTCTCTGCTCCTATGATGCTGCTTGGCCTGCTGTGTTCATCCAGCCCTGCACCTTGTTGTCTCCATTAGCTGCTTATTGGCTTTTAGGGGAACTAGTTTGAACCAAACGGGAGAATAATATTCTTTTACGCAGTAGTCAGTGGTTAGGATCTGGAATGCACAGTCTGAGAGTGTAGTGGATGCACGTTCAATTGTAGCTTCACTATCTGAAGCAAAACAAAAGCTGGGAGGGAAGCTCAGGCGAGCGGACTGGTTGAGTTGCTCTTGCAGGGAGTTGACACAGATACGACGGGGCGAAATGGATTGCTGCTGCGCTGAAACCTTGTATGATTGTATGGGTTTTAGTTCATAGCAAATAATACTATATAAATGATAATGTTATCATTAATATTCTATCAATATTAATATCACATAAATGGATCAATCCATCATAAAGATCATATCTTTTTATGATTCTTTATCTTTTGTTTGTGGA